ATGCCACTGGAACAATTTAGTGATTTATGTATTTATTTAATCTTTTACTGCTGGAGATGGAACCCAGGGCTTTGAGCATACTAAGCATAAGTTCTGCTACTGAGCTACATCCCCAGCCCATTAGAGCAATTTAATACAGCAGAACACATGCTCTGTTGCGATCTCCTCACTGTAAAGCAGTTCAGGGGTAGCTCTCAAAATATGGGCTTCCAACCAGCAGCATCATCAGCAGCAGCAGTATCTCCTTTGTTAAAAAAGCAGATTATCAGCCCCACCTCAGACCTACTAAACCAGGAGGAGGGGGGGCGGCAAACTATGTTACAGGGTCCACCTGGCGATTCTGATGAAGATCACTGCCACACAGTATGAGCCTAGTGGATCATTTAATTAGATACGGGCCACCCATTCAATTGCGCCCTCCTCCATAAGGTGTTCCTGGTTTCTCAGGACCCCTTCTTTACTGGCATCTTTAACTTTCTCCCTCCTGTGTTACCGTCATCTGTGCCCAGAAGCACCTCCCTAAATTGCAAGTTTCCTGAGAGCAGGGGTGAGTCTGCTCTGCCCATCTCTGCATCTTCCCTATCTCTTCTGCGTCTGCCCAGCAGCCCAGAGCCTACCACAGTGGACTTTGCTTGGGGAAGGTCTTCTGAGTCAAGTGTGAAACATTTCCAGTCTCCTCTGACTAAGACACTGTCACTGGGCTCTGCTCCTTCCAGGAACCTTGCTTACACTATATTTTCCGTTGTAGTAATCTCCCAAGCTGAATGGCCTTTTTCTGTCATTTCTGCTCCTCAAGGTCCACTGGTTTCTTCCCTCCACCTTTGTTTGATCAGAGACCTTTGGAAAGTTGCCCCATCTGCAATCTAACTGGCCAATTCTTATTTTCTTTGTAATTCTTCTATTAATAGTATTTGTCAAGTATTATATACGACGCCCTGTGCTGGGCATTGTATGTTCATTATTTCAGCCCTGACAGCAACCTGGAGGGTGGTGCTGTACTTACTCCCATGTGACCAGGGCCCAGAGAAACTGAGGCACAGTAAGCAGCATCAATAAATGCCAAGATCATGCCAGGTGCAGTGGTGCAGCCCTGTAATCCCAGCAGCTTGGGAGGCAGCAGGTTTGCAAGTTCAATGATCTCTAAATATTTAAAAAGGGCTGGGGATGTGGCTGAGTGGTTAAGCAGCCCTCAGTTCAATCCTTGGCACCCCCGCCCCCCCACAAAAAAATATGCCAAGATCAGGGCTTTTTCAACCTGAAACTCCTATCAGGGGGATTTGACATGGATTAAGAGATGTGTCTTGCCTAAGAATACTAGCAATCGTTATAGAAATGATCTCACAAACCTCTCCTGATCCCCTATTCAGTACCTATTCAGCCCAGCCCGCTAGGTCTGCACCTTCAGCCTTGTGCAGGAGCATGGGCCTCACTGACTTAAGCACTTACAATCTGTACTGTGGGAGTTTCCAAACTGTGCTCTCCAGAGCCCCGGATACCAGCATGGGTTGGCAGGACAACTGAGGCTAACCCTGTGGATGGACCCCTGGGACCACCTTTGCTAAGGCAGAGTATCCCCTATCATCCATGTCACTTTTGGGGCTTCTGAACACAGTTGTATTTGAAGAAAGTGTTTCCCCGCCAAAGAGCTGGGAAAACTGTTGTTGAACAATAATGGTCTTTTTATTTGTCTGTTTCTTCCCCCTGGCTCCTGAAGAGCAGGGACTGCACCCACAGGATCCAGCACAGGAGTAGGGAGGGTGTCAGAAAGGATGGGCCAGATGAAAGGATGAATAAAAGGGAATGTATTGAGAGCGCTCTGTGTAGTGCACGATTCCCTCACCCCTACCCCGGCCCACTTCACCACCCCACCCCACCCCACAGGGACAAGGCCTTGGGAGAGTTGAGTAAGAAACTTGCAGACAGAATGATGCAAGGGGAGCTTTCTGTACATATTGCAACAGAACATTCTAAAAAGGGGCCTGGGCTGTTCTGATGGCTGGTTCCCAAGGGTCTCTGCTGTCAGCCAGACCTTTCACACAAGATAGGACCACAGGCCTTTACTGAGCCTAAGACTGGTCATGGAGCTGGAGAGCAGTCACGCTCTGGTTTGAAACCTAGAGTCCCCCTGCCCTACATCCATATTTCACTGAGGCCTTGAAGCCCCCCTGAACCACTCCTCTTCTCTGCCACTCCTTCACTCAGCCCCAGCTGTGACAGCATCCACTCTGCTCCCTCCCTCTGCCTTCCTCCTTTGCTTCCTTTCTTCCACCCAGCATCACCCAAATCCCTCCTGTGCACAGGCCTAAGGATCTCCAGTCCTGCCCTGTGTTGGGCGCCTCTCCAGGAAGGGACAGGTGTGTAAACATTAGGAGTTACAGGTGCCCTGGACAAGAATAGTTAGAGGTCTACAGAGACTAGGAGATGGGACAGTTCCTCCTAGGGCCATGTGTTGCATAACTTCAAGTTCCCTCAGCCCAGTTCCCCACCTCTCTCCAGCTGCACTCTGCTGGATCCTTGGATGATCCACAGGGACTGTGTCAAGCCAAGGGCTGTTTTACCCTCTGGGCAACAGGAAGCCCTGGATTAGGCTGGTGGGAAGGCAGGGTCACCATGGGTTGTGCCCACAGCTTCTCTCAGACAGCCTTCTCCACCCAGCTCCCACTCCACGGGCTTCCTCCTCTTGGTCCTTCTGGCCACATAGCCAGACAATGTCACTAGCCTCAGGCTGCACAGGCCCCATCCATCCCTGGAGTTTCTCCTATACCCTATCCACATCTTTGTAAATAGTCTCTAAACTTTCTTCAAATTACCCATTTGAGTGGGCTGTCCTTTCAGAGAAAGACATAAAAGGCAGAGATCATCAGGAAGGGTGCCATAGGGGTGCCAGTTAAAGGTGTTCCTTACACTTATTTTTCTGGGCATACCTCACTCCTGCTAAAAACCTCTCTGACCTCTCATTGCTCTGAGATGAGGTAGCCCAGCATCTGAGAATGTACCCCACCTGGCTCCTGACAATCAAGTAATGTGTGGACAAGTCCCCAGAAGAGGGGCAGTAGGGGGCTTGGAAATGGGGCTGGGGAGTGGTCCAGGAAGGGCAGCCATGCCATGAAGCTGCTCTGGCTGGCAAATTGTTGCCTGGGGAAGAAGGTGGATGAGTTCTGAGCCAGAGGACCATGCCAGGCTGCCCTCCCCTTTCCTGAACCTCTGCCAAACTTCTTGTCAGGAGAGGTGATCACTTGAGTGAGTTTAACCCCTCTGGGCCCTAGCCCTTGGGCATGAGACTGGTTTAAATCCCACATCACTGACATCTGTCAAGCTCTTCCATTTTCTGAGCTTTAATTTTCCCAACTGCCAAATGGGAATAACCTCATGGACCTGTCGGGGAAGCTTAAAGAAAGCAATGGATGGGGATTTGCTTCATCAAGGAGTCATGGTGTAGGAGGTGGTCTTCCCCCCTTCCCAGCCCTGTGAGGCAGGAAAGGCGTGTGGGTTGCAGGCTCAGGGAGGCTGGGTTTAGCACAGGTTGAGTATCCCTTACTCAAAATGCTTGGGACCAGAAGCATTTCAGATTTCAGATATTAGGGTTGTTCCGCCTGTGCTTACTGTATGGTCACAGACAAGTCACATCACTTCTCTGCACCTCATTTGCAAAGTGGGGTGATAATCATTCCTTGCAGGGTGGTTATGAAGACCAGGGAAGCTCACATTAGCCAGGGCCTAGAACAAAGCAGGGTGTTTGGTAAATGCTTGTTTCTTTTCTGGGCCTTTCATAGGGCAGGCATCCTGTCTGCCTTGTAGACCAGCTATTTACTCTCTTCTTCTGTGCAATGGAGAGACTGACGCTACATTTACTGTAATGTGTCTCAATGTGCCTGTGTCACAACCCTTTCAAACTGCAAAGCCACACACATTCCCAATGGCAGCATAATGCTGGTGACTGAAGGTAGAAATAGGATGCACTACTCTTGGTAAAGCCCACTCTGGTCAAGCCCTTCTTGTAGGTATGACTCGATTTATCTCTGGTTTGGCCAAAGTGCGTACCATGCCTTCCAAACCATAGCCTGGGTTGGGAGGCAATGAAGAAAAGTTGTCCCACGTCCCAGAACACATCTCACAAATGTCCTCCTCACCCATGGGAAGAGCAGGGCAGGTCAATACAGAAACTAAGGGATGAGGGGGTGTGTGGAAAGGGGAGTGCCTCCTGCGAGTCTCCCAGGCCCAACTCATGCAGGGGAGAAGAGCCCAGGGAAACAGAAAGTTTCCAAGAAATATTCTATCTGGGCTTCTCTAATTCTGGGTCTGGTCTTCCATCCAAATCTAATCTGAACCAATGTAATGAAGCAGTTGCCTTGAGTGTAGTTGCTGGAGGAAAGGGCGGGAAAGTTCCAGAAGTTAGGATGCCAGGGGCTGTTGACCTGTGAGGTGGCCCAGAAATATGTGACTGTGTAAGCCCTTGGATTGGCTTCTGCTTTCTTTGGTGGATGCTTCCACATATGAGGGGTCCAAACTGGGGGCTGGATTTTTTTGGCTCTACTCCCAAGCCCCCACCTTCATAGTACCAGCTCAGCTTATCTTTCTAACCCACATATCTGATCAAGGTCCCTCAGCTGCTCACACCCCTTCCTTGGTCCCTCCCACACAGGATGAAGCAGTTTCCCAGTGGGACTACGAGGCCCTTCAGATCTGGTCCCTGTTGTCAACCTTTCCAGTTTTATCTCCTACATTCCTCTGCCTATATTCCCCTCCAGCCACACCAGGGTGCTCAAGGCTCCCATCTCCAGGACCTCTGTTCAAACCCCTTCCCTTCCTCTTTGCCTAAACACCTTCCCTTCCTCTCTGCCTAAACATCTTCCCTTCCTCTCTGCCTGACAGAATCAGGCTCATCAGCAGCAATGTCACCTCCTCTTTTTTTTTTTTTTTTTAAGAGAGAGGGAGAGAGAGAGAGAGAGAGAGAGAGAGAGAATTTTAATATTTATTTTTTAGTTATCGGCGGGCGCAACATCTTTGTTGGTATGTGGTGCTGAGGATCGAACCCGGGCCGCACGCATGCCAGGCGAGCGCGCTACCGCTGAGCCACATCTTCAGCCCCATGTCACCTCCTCTTGACCTTCCAATTTACCATTCCCCCGTCCTCTATGATTACTATTCTCATTTGTTGGTTAGTCCATGTGAACTGAGTGCCATGAAGAGAGTGAGAAGTTCCTGTCCTTTGGATGCTCCTGGCCCAGGAGAGACCAACACTGCAGTGATAGCACAGGAAGGAAGGACAGAATTGGGTGTAGCCTTCCATGATACCTTGCACCAGAGCCTGGTGCATCCTGTGACACTGACTTTGAAATGTCATCTCTTGATGGGTCTCATGAAGGCAGGAACTAGGTCTGATTCCTCTGTGTCCTAATCAGCACTTGGCCCAGAGGAGGTACACAGGAAAAATGTGCTGAAACAGATGAACTTGGGATCTGAATGTTTCAAGTGGGACTTGTTTACCTTGAAGTCTTGCCATTTATTATCATTAAAATAATGAGATCTTACTTTTCATTGCAAAGTGGTAACACCACTTTAGGATTTCATTGGATCTTCAAATACTCAAGTCAGCAAGATAGGAGCCTCCATTTCATGATGTAGAAATTGAAACCTAGATAAGAAAGGAAAGGTGACTTGCCCAAGGACACTTGGCAAGTTGGTTAGAGGAGGGGCCAAAACCCAGGCCTTCTGCCCTCTAGTTCAAGCTCTGCCCCTTAGATCATTCTAGATGTGAGTGGGTAGGTTCCTCCACAGGAGACCCTTCATGAGCAGGCACAAGTCACACAATGACCTGGGGTCTTCCAGTCAAAACAGGAAGTCTGGTCTCTCAGAATGAGACAGTGTAACAATCCACTGGCAGATTTGGCATCCCGTGGCTATACTCTTCTTTGCCCCAAAAGTCTACTTCACCTGTCTCCATCCTCTAATCTTTGAATATACCAGTCCCCTTTGTCCCCCAGTGATATGGTGTGCCTTTAGCCTTCCCTTGATTTCTTAAAATACACTGAGCTCTTTCCAGTCTCAGGGCCTCACTGCATGCTGATCCCTCTGCCTAGGATGCTTTTCCTTCTACTTGGTTGACTCAGTCCTCAGGGTTCAGTGACATTTTCTCAATGAGATTTATACCTGTGGCTGTAAATTGAACAAATGGGAAGTGTTCCTAAGTCTCACCAGAGGTATTAGTAACAAGCTGCCCTGTGGCTGTGACTCCTCATTCTTCTCCCCTCACCTGTGAAGGAATGGGAAAGACCTTAAAATCAGAGGCTTGCTCTCCTCTCATGCTGTGACCCCACAGGCTGCTTGCTCAAGCTCTGCCAAGGAATCCTCTTCTCACTGACATGCTGTTGCCCACTCCCTCCGTTGTCCAATAAATCACTCCATAGATTCTGTTAATTCTCATCTCCTCCTAGGGGTGTTCTCTCACTCCCCCCTCCCTCTCCCTCTCTCTCTGGTGCTGCTGGGGATCAAACCCAGGGCCTTGGCAGGCTAAGCACATGCTATACCACTGAGCTACATGTGCAGCCCTCCTGTGCTTTTCTTTAGATCAGGCTTTCCCTGGATTCCTTCTACTACTGCCCTAGCTTGAGGTGCCCTCCCTCACCCAGCTCTTTTCCACATCCTTCACACTGCCCTCCTGTCCTATAGCCCCTCCTGACCCTTTCCCATACTATGGCTACAGGGCTCTTAAGACTCATCTGACCAGTGTCAGTTCCATATTTTAAAAAGTCTTCCTCCAAACACACTCCCACTTCAATGTTTCAAGAGTGGCACCCAAAGGACTTCCTAAGATCAGACCTCAGGCTATCTCACTTTGGCTTCCTTTCTCGCAATTGCCTGGGCTCCTGCCACTCCAGCTCCCTCTTCCTACATGCTGACTTTTCTAAGACTTTATGCCTTTCCTTCTACCTTGCCCTCACACCCTCCATCTGAAAAACTCCTACTCATCCAGAGACAATGAAAATAATTTCAGAACTCTATGTACAGGTACTAGCAGTGCTCCTTTCGAGTCTTGTTTGGTTCTTAAATCACCTCCAATAATAATTATTATTATTCTCATTTGTAAATGTGAAAACTGACATTCAAAAAGATAAGACCAGATCTGACGTTAGACACAGGTCTATAATCCCAGCTATTCAAATGGCTGAGGTAGAAAGAGGGCAAATTCAAAGTCATCTAGGACAATTTAGACCTTGTCTCAAAATCTTTTAAAAGGGGTTGGGGGTGTAATTCAGTGTTAGCGTGATTGCCTAGCATGTGTGAAGTCCTGAATTCAATCCTCAATACCAAGAAGAAAGTATGGGACCGCGAAAGGGGGTACGGGTGGGCAGGACTAGAACCGAACTCTAGGTCTGATTCCACACCTGCCATGCACGTCTCTAGTCTCTGAGAAGTGCATCCAGTCCCTAGCCTGAGGAAGGATCCTCTCTTCTCTGTAGTTCCATAGCCCCCAGCTTCTCTTTTGTCCCACCTTTGTCACCAGTGTACATGTCTGTCTCTTCTGTTCCCTTCCCCCCTGTAACGTGAGCACCCAAAGGCAGATCCTGATCTCACCTGCTGGGTCCCCAGCACCCAGCAGTATGTACAGATGCTCTGTGAAGTTTTCCGATAAATGGAAAGGCAGAGGCGTTTGGGGTGGTTTAGGAGTTCAGGCCTAACATAATTTCGATATCCCTTACCCCAGACGAGACCTCTGCATCTGCAGCCAAAGGGAGGCACTGCCAAAATAAGAACATACTTCCCCGCACGCCCTTGGCGGGTTCCGCACGTGCTCAGTTTCCCTGCCCACGTTCTAGCTGTCGGGCCGTACCAATCTCTGCAGGGGAGTTCAAGCGGCCAGGCTGAGGGAACAGCTGAAATAACCGGATGTAGCTCTTGGAACGAAGAAACCATCTCCCCTTCCCTCTTTCAGTCGGCTGAGTTCGCGTAGGGCAGACCTCGACGCTGGCCTGGGTCCGCACCGCGCCGAGAACCAGGAGCTTCCCCCCCGCCGCGCAAGGACATGGTGTGGGCCGCACAGTGGAACTGCCCGCCCCGCCCCCTCCCGCGTCGCGGCCCGCCCCGTTGTGAGGTTATAAAGTGCGCGCTCCGCGCTGCGAGCGCCGGGGCTGGCGCCTGGCTCTTGTTTCTCCTCCACCCAGCGCTACGCGCGCCGCCTGCCTCTGCTCGCGGTGCCGTAGCCACCTCCGCTGGGCTCAGTCCCGGGCTTCAGTGCTCTGTGCGAAGCCCTGGCCCAGGCGGCCGGGGCATGGGCCAGGGACGCGGGGTGAGGCGGCTTCCCGCAGGGCCGTGACCAGCCTTGACTTCAGCATGAAGACCCTCATTGCCGCCTACTCTGGGGTCCTGCGAGGTGAGCGTCGGACCAAAGCTGCTCGGAATGAGGGCGCCAATGGAGGATCTGCCCTGTCCACCAAGGGCTCTGGGAGATGGGGTGAGTGTCTGTCACACCTGGAGGCTTTCATCCTGTGGGTATGCAACTGCAAGATTTTCAGGAAAGGGTTCTGAGGCAAACTGATGCGGAGGAATGGCCACTGCAAGTTGGGATCCCAGTTCCCTTTTTTTATTTTGGGGACTTCCTTTTGAGGGTCTGGGATGAGGGAATAATAATCATCTTTACCTAGTCTGGTTACCCAGTCGGATCCACGTAGCTTGGCATCCTACTCAAGTCTGAGTTCATTCTGTATCCTGGCACTGATTTTTTGCGACATCTGTTGCATCACTTCCCATTTCCCATCTGATGAAGGTGACACCACCCACCTTTCTCAGTTTTTAGGGATATTGGAGAACTATTCGCCAGTCCTCAGTACTGTTCCTGACCCCTGATGGTTCCCTCCCATCACCCTTCACCAGGTGGAGCAAGCTTTGGCAGCCAGAGACTAGATGGGACTGGGTGGCAAGGGTTTTGTAATCCCCTGAAACAGCCGCTGGCTGGGGAACATGCCTGGCTGGGGAACATGCCTGATTGGGACAGGTGTGCCCCCACTGTCCTCTGCCTCACACTCATCTGCCAATCCGGGGGGTGGAGCCCACTCATTAGCAGTTCTGAACCTTGGTGTTGTGTGTGTGTGTGTGTGTGTGTGTGTGTGTGTGTGTATGTGTGTATGCGGTGGTGGGGTAACCCTGGGTGTCCTCCAGGGTGGAACTGAAGCCTTCAGTGAATTAGGGGTGAAATCAAATATCATAGCTTTTTGCATGAAAGGAAAAACATTCCTTCCACCCCCCACATTCCTTACCTATAGCTGGAGAAACTGAAGTGGGATCATACACGTTGCTTGAGATTTTCTTAACAGATGCCTTATTAGGGGAGGGGTGTTAAATACAAATCCTGGAGATCCTGGGAGGTCATCACGCTGTCCTGTTCTGCCAGTGTTTCATGCATGAAGCTTCTTTCCTCCTGAGTCTTTATTCTGCTTGCTGAACCTTTCCAACTTGGGATTTTTCTTTAGTAACCAACAATAGCCTGTTCTCACCTATGTTATAAAACATGCCAATTATGGAAATCTAGAAAAATATAGACAAACAGAAAAAAAAAATAAAAATTGCTGGTAAATCAGCTATTTAAAGATAGCTTCCTATTATCATTTTAGTATATTTCTGTATAATTTTCTTTATACATATTATGCAGATTAAAGTTGAGAATACGCTGTAGATAGTTTTGAATCCTGTTTTTTCTCTCTTAATAATATGTCATCAGTATATGCTGCAATAATCAAAATCATTTCTAATATGCTCATGGCTGCAAGTTAGCCCCTGTTGGAGCTGTATCAGTTTTAACTGTCCTGTGCATTGGTGTTGTTCCTTGTTGATTATTGCTGTGGTTTTCTGCCCTACTTGGTGCTCAAAGAGGATACTCAGCTGCTGTTACCATCCAGGGAGAAGCAGCCTGAGCTATCCTACGCACCAGCCCACTAGCTTCTGTCAGCCTCTTCTCTCACTTAGAATGTTTTGTTGTTGTTGTTGCTGTTGTTATTTGCTATGCCCTTTGATGCCCTTAACAGGGGAAAGAAGGGACTTACCCATGTTCCCGCTTTTAAACTGTGTGTATCTCCATGTCATGAGATGGAGGTACTCTCTGTGGCAGTCCTTCCTAGAGATCCCCTTCCTGGGCTCTGCTGTCCATGGGCTGTGAGCTGTGCCTTCCAGGAACCAGTGACCATAGCTCTTATGTTTTTGACCTAGAGTTACTCAGGAGAATCTGTGCTCTAGCAAATGGTTTTGATCAAGTCATTTAATATACCAGGAGCATTTCCCCATGAAAACATGACTTTACAAACTGGGTTCAAAGAATTACATCAAGGAATGTAGCAAGGGCTAATATGAAATGCAAACTAGTCCGTTTAGCTCTCTGGGATCTACTTTGGTGAAAGACTGGGTGGGGTAGGGGAGGGTGCTGAAGCAACCTGCTTGCCATATCCTTGGTCCTTGAAGACACTCCCCAGTGGCCTAGTTTGCCTCTGCAGATAAGTTCCCACTGTTGTGGGTGGTGAACACCCTGTTGGTGGTGACTCCCTGTCAGCGGCAGTATTCAAGGAGAGACCATGGATTCTGTGAAGGGAAGTCCTATGATGGGTGAGAGATTTCAATAGATACCTTGGTGCCGGGTTTCTCTGTAGGAGCGTGGCTGGGTTTGTGCATGTTGGAGAGGAGGTTCTGCATTGGTGTTTTTTAATCTCTGAAGGACTGTGCTGGACCAGGTGTGGAGGCTGCAGTGGTAGCTGCGTCTGTAACCTGCCTCTGTCCCTGGACTAGGGGTTCTTCAGAGAAGAGTCCTTGGATGCTTGCCTATATCCTTAGGGTTCAGCACAGGCCCCAGCATGAGATGGAGGTAATAAAATTTTGAGCTGATTTATTCTGTGTGACTACAAAGAGTAAGGCCAGAAATTGGGTGGGACTTGGGGGACAGGTTTTGGTACAATAAAGGAATCCTTTCTAGTAGCTGTTAATGACTTTGTGGGTTGGGGTGGTAGGGTTAGAGTTCCCCATCCCTGGGGTTATACAAGTGGGGGCCTAGTGGGGGGGTGAAACTAAGCAGTTAGCTTTTATGGAACTGAGACTTAACTGTGTGTGTGGGGGGTAACTGTGGAACTGAGACTTGGCAGTCACTTAATGCAATCCAAGTCATAGAATGAGAACATCACTCATGTCCTATCTCCTTTAATTCTTGGTAACTGAATGACGCTAGCCACAGCCTGGAATATAGATCTGAGTTCTAGCCTGGCTTTGATACCCCTGGATGAGTCCCTTCTCTCTGGAGACCTTAGTGTTCCCGTCTGCACTATGAGGGTTAGACCCTCCTCCCCTACATTGGGTTAGTTACTAAGGGCTCATCTGAGTTGGGAGAGGAGAAACAAGAGTAATAATTTATTAGTGGACTGGATGACTCAATGGCCAGTGTGGAAATCCTGCCCCTCCCCCGCCCCCAAATTCAGCAGCAAGTACTTGAGTCAAAACTTAGATATCTGTTAGCACTGGATCTGGCCCAACCCTCATGGTACAATGGAAACATTGAGGTCCTCAGAGAGAAGGGACTTGTCCAGGGGTATGACACCTAAGATGCATCTCCCAGTCTGTGGCTAGCCTCCATAAATAAGAGAAGTGTGATGAGGCTGGGAAGGACTGAGTGCTGTGCATCATGGGCACTCAGCAGTGTACTGAACAAGTGAAGGTTGCTCCCAGTCTCCATGATGGGAATGGTGGTTCACCCCTTCTCAAGATTTATGAGGAAGTGCCCCAATCTTGCCTGGTGGAGAGAGACACCAGCAGCCCCAGGACTTCAGTTGCCAGGTTAACTGCTAGTTTACCCCCACTTTATACTTCCAACCTTCGAAATTCTTTTCTTTCTCCATTGCCATGGTCATCTTCGGCTTTTTTTTTTTTTTTTTTTATGGTACTGGGGGTTGAACCCATGGGAACTTGACCACTGAGCCATATCCCCAGCCCTATTTCATATTTTATTTAGAGACAGGGTCTTACTGAGTTGCTTAGCACCTCACATTTGCTGAGGCTGGCTTTGAACTCACCATCCTCCTGTCTCAGCCTCCTAAACTGCTGAGATTACAGGTGTGTGCCACTGTACCTGGCACCATAGTCTTCTTCATCCTCCAGTTGCCCCCAGTTCAGTCCTATCTCAGGGCCTTTGCATGCCTTCCTGCCTAGATCTTTGCATTGCTCACCTTGGAACATTTGGTCTCCTCTCAGGTCTTCCCTGGTCATCTTGCCTGGAAGCCACCCCAGTTGCCACATCTTGTACCTCTATAGCCCTTATAATTACTTAAATTCTCCCATATGCTTATCTATTTAGGTAGTTGTCTCTGTCTTAAGAATGTCATCCCCAGGCTGGGCACAGTGGCTCTGGAGATGGAGGCAGAAAGATCACGAGTTCAAAGCCAACCTCAGCAATTCAGCGAGGCACTAAGCAACTCAGTGAGACTCTGCTTCTAATAAAATACAAAATAGGGCTAGGGATTGGCTCAGTGATTGAGTGCCCCTGAGTTCAATCCCCCTGGTACCCCCCCATAAGAAAAAAAATAGAATGTCAGCCCCTTGGGAGCAGAGACCTTGTCTGTCTTTCTCAGAATTGTGTCCCTATCATATACAGTGCTGGCAGGTAGTAGGTGCTCAATAAATATTTGTTGAGTGAATGAATTGTTAGTGGGACTTCCCTGTTCCTCTTGGCAGTAAACCCTGCTTTTAGCTTTGGTGTGATTCCTTAACTCTTTCTCAGGCCTCTACACTTGTCTCTGCTAGGTGCTGGGGCTGCAGCTGTTCCCCGTCCTGGAGACACCCACAGCCTGGCCAGAAGCTAGCCCCTGGGGCTGAGTGCCAAGTGGGTGGAGCCAACTCCTTTATGACTTCCAGAAGTCAGAAAGCCAGAGTCCCAGCTCTGCCTTTCCCTGAGACATGGTTGGGTGGCTCACTTCCTCTCACTCCCCCATCTCAAAAACAGAATCAGAAATATCAAACTCTCCGGGCTGGGGTTGTGGCTCAGAGGTAGAGCACTCGCCTACCATGCATGAGGCACCAGGTTCAATCCTCAGCACCACATAAAAATAAAATAAAGATATATATAAAAAAAGAAATATCAGACTCTCATTGGAAGGCACCTCTGAGAGTACTCCCCAGGCTGGTGGGGGCCTCCCTTTCATTCCTGGCCCTGTGTGGCCCTCTGTTCTTGGTCCTCCCTGTCTCAGAATATGAGGAAGTGAGTTAAAGTGAGTGGAAGGTGCCTTGTAAACTAGTTTGTGACACTCATGTGAATGAGTCCTTGTCATTTGTGCTGCGTGATATGCAAGTGGGGACTTGGTATGGGTCCTTTGTTCACTGACTGAGTACTTCCTGTTTGTCAGTTAAGATCCCCACCTTTGAGGGACGGAGAGACCAGGGGGATGTATACAAGATGATGGCACATAGTGATTCAAGCAGTGACAGGGG